ATACATTGCATATTTAATATTTTGTGATGTTCTGCATCGTATCTAAAGCCTGTAAAAATCAGTAAGAGGGCCAATTCCGACTGTGTTCCCTTGTAAGAAAACCTAATAACTACAATTACGTTGTTTCAATTCAGCGTGGAACCGCACTGCTGGTTGCGGCTTTATTGGCTAATCCATCGCGGATTCTTGCAAGTTCTGCGGGACCCATCGGTGCAATTCATCAGGCTACTGCAGAAAATAGTGAGTAATCGGTAAAACATGCCCGAGTCTCGTGCTCTTCGACCATTAAGATTCGAATAAATCTGCGAGAAACCGATTCCCGCAGGGAGAAATGATCGGCCTATAGACGTTGATTCGACATCTATAAATATCGAATCAATGTTTATAGAGATATCGAATCGACATATATAAACCAATCATTTCTGCCTGGGTTGGGCCGATTCTTTCTTTCGGGTGTACACGGCAGTTGATGACGGATCGCGTTACAGAGCATCGCGACGACAGCTGGTCTGTGTTTCGTAGGCGCCGTCGATCTCGATCAATTGGGCATTCAGGCGGTGGACGGTGTCATATACCTTCTGGTGTGCGAAAACGCGTTCTTCCCCATGTACGCGACCTTGGCGCTGATCCCGCAGGAACTGCCGCTTCTACTTCGAGAGTACAAGGCGGGCATGTACTCCATCCATCTTTACTACCTGGCGCGAATGCTATCGCTGGTGAGCTCGGTTCCCCTCTATCTGCGGCCTAAATTAAAATCGAAACGTATAAGTCGATTATGTAAGAATAGATTAATGAAAGTGAAATTGTTGGGAAACGTAAATTAAAACGTGAAAGAAGAGGTTTTAAAAGGTAAAGAGGGCCTCTTTTATATGTTGCTGTTCCAATTTACGCTTCCTAGAAGTTTCGTTTACGTTTCTGTCACTCTCTCCTTATATTCGACTTATGCTCTAATCTTTATCTTCGCCAGAGACACGTAAGCACGATTTGCTAGAGCGTTCACTGAGAAAAATGTTTTGATTGTACCAACGAGAAATACATGCAAAATATATTCTGATCATCATAATCAAAATTCTATTGTAATTCAATTATCTTGACTGTATAATGCTCAATTATAGATTAACTATAACTCAGCCAAAAATGATTAGTCAAATCGATGAGTCGATAAATGATCGATTGATATATTTGTTATCTTT